GAATTCCTCGAATGCCACATAAGAAACTGTTAACTCTCAATGGAACTTGGGAAAAGACACTTTTTTCCTATGTAGGTATTTTTTGAGTTTCAATCACGATCGAATAAATCAAACCGTGACAAGATTTGCATTCACATTCACCATACGTAATTTCATCAACATATGCCAATACGAGTACATCGCACATTTTATTGTTACAGACAGATTTGACATATTATTTGCGACTTAAATTCATTATTGAAAAATCTTTGTGGCCATATGGAAAACTTATCATTAATTTAGTCATCCACAAAAATGTATGCATAAGGCAAGAATCAAAACCCAAAACACAACAATCGGTTATCTAATTATGTCAGTCACATACAAGGTTTGTAAAAAATATATTTTTCATGAATAAACTACCTTTATATCTGACAATATCGAAAATTGTTATTGGAAAAAGTTGATCAGGAATTGGAATTAACTTTAGGTATGTAATTGTATTAATTTATAATGAAAAATTTGGTTTCTTTATGTTTCACCATTCGCTCTACTTGTATCTCAATATAATGAACATTTATCTCTTAAGATTAGTAGAAACATATCAATGTTTCTTTTCCTTGATGTTTTCTAACTAATTCAATTGAATTGGCGTTGTTATTGTAGAAGTAAGTTTCGTGAAATAAAAAAAAATGTAATTCAAAATAATTGTAAAATTGAACGTGATTTTATATTTCGATCAACTTCTTCACTAACAATTTACGGTATTGTCAAAAATCATGATAATTTACTCTCATCGAGAAAAATAGTCATATTTGTTGATGAAGCTCTTATACGACTCAAATAATTAGACAAAATCAATTATTGTAATTGGGGTTCCTTGCAGAATTTTTCATGAAGAATAACTTGATATCTACAAGAGAAGAAATTACTAAACTTAAGAGAAATGTGATTATGTTCAAATGAAATTGTACTTCTTTGGAATTCATTTTTGTTACTTCTTTGAATAACTGCATTCCAAGAGTTTTCCTTCAATATTTTTTTGCTATGTTATATCTGTCTCAGACTTTCGTAGAGATACTGGATGACTAGACATCTGACCAGTATATATTCGATTTCAGACGTGTTCCATTGTAAACAATATTTTTGATGTTTACTGGTTTTGTCAATACATATCTGAGAATTTTCTCAATTCTGCAATGTGTTCAAACATTGAATTCCCTATGGTAATTATTTTCAAAAGAGAACGAGAGAAATTATTACATTGAAAAATGGCTATTAACTATGGTTGTCAATGACTTTTTCATCGTATAATTTCGGTAAACAGCACCGATTTTCATACAAATTCGGAATTGGGTTCTACTTCCCCTCTTCTTCAAAGTGGGTCCAGTACCGGGGATTGCTTCTATGTAAAGATCTAATCACACGAAAAAAAATGTTTCAAAACAACTTCTTCCATATGATCATTGAATCACAGAAAAAGTATAATTTTTTATTCAGTTTTATACTCCAAACATTCGGTATTCAATTCAAATACATAGCATCTGATATAAAATTTCACTTACATATGAGACCCAGTAATAGTGTAACTTCGTCGTCGTCGACTATTTGAACTTTTGAAGACAAAAACATTTCTCACACAAGATTACGATTTTAGGTTACCGGAAGAGACGAATCTGCTCTTGTCATGATGACAGAAACTACGCATGATCTACACATATTTGTAAAGAGTTTATTTCAAACTTAGTTACTTTTTTTTTTCGAAAAATAAATCTCTTCTTAAAATATTCCGTTTTCATTTTCAACAAAGTTTCTGTGGCTGGGATTAAATCAAATAACCGTACTTTACGTACTGACATAGTAACATGCGCATAATGGTGTCTTCTGGTGACATAAAGCCGTAATCTTGTGCGAAAAATGTGTTGCATTTTTGAAAGTTCACATAGTTGGTGACCAGGCATGGTAGACAAGTGTTTTCGACTCGAAACTTCGACACAGTACTCGGTCATCAAGGCTGTTTCATATATAACATTCCTATTCATGCTATTCAGTTGATATCCATGTTCATATAAAAGTAGTTGTTTCTTTCAGTTTGCATCTGAGAGTAACTTCTATCCATGATCTACATACACAAGGTCAAAGGCCTTAGAAATATCAAGCGCTACAGCTCTTGACTCTCCATGTTTCTCGATTGAGTTATTTCAAATATGGGTGATATACGATAGAAGGTCGCCTGTTGATCTTTGTTTCCGAAAGCCATATTGATGATCGCTCAAGATGTTGAAGCCTTCCAAATATTGTAGGATATGGTGGATTACGGCTTTCTCCGTGTTTTTTGATAATACCTAATGATAGCAAAGTGACTGGTCTATAGTTATTTGGAAGAGTTTTCTTGCCCTTTTTGGGAATAGACTGAACGCGAGCAGTCTTCCAACAGGAAGGAAAAACCCCTTTCTTGTGAGACAGGTTGGAAAGTCTGCAAAATACTGGTGCACGTTCACTTCGCACTTTTTAAGTTCAATGACGGGCACTTCATCGAAGCCAGACGCCTTGTTGATAGTTCGATTTTTGGCACTGAGATTTTGGCGCCACTGCCGGTAGGCGTGATTTTTGGAGGCGACAGCTTGCTCGCAATTTTTGTTGACCAAGGTTTGCCGTTTAAAGGTCGTTTCATTGAAAAATAAATATATGCAACCTGATGGATGATAGAATAACTTCCGTGACTTCAGAAGCACAAATAGATGTATCTTTAGAGGTAAAACGAACATCTAGCCAGGGGCAATTTCGGAAATGGTCTTGAAGATCCTCCCGCTCGGCAGATCTGTATTGCCAAACTTTGAGCGGCTTAGATTGTTCACCAACATTCATCGGCAATTCACTCAACACTGAAATGAGTTTGTGATCAGAAGATCCCAGTGGAGACCTAACGGTGACTGTGTAAATTAATTTCTGGATTGGTTGTTAGATATAGATCCAGAAAACTAGCATATTCTCCATCACGGTCAGGAATCCTGGTTGGCTCATTTATAATCTAAGTAAGTCTGCTGCTTATTGCAGTTCTCCTTGTTTGGTCAATATATAGTTTTCGGCAAGAAGCCTAAATTTGTAGCTATTGCGAGCATTAACAAACCTAGTTCGATTTTTGTTACTAGGATTTTTGGGCCACTGCCGGTAGGCGAGATTTTTGGAGGCGATAGCTTGCTCGCAATTTTTGTTGATCCAAGGTTTGCCGTTAGAAGGTCGTTTTATTGAAAAAGTAATATATGTATTGTATTTATATAAAAAAAGTGAAAGGTTGGAGTTGAGTAACTTATGAATACGCTTAAATGAAGCTACCCTCTACTTATTATAATTATTCTATTGCTTTCTTTGAGTTTCTGAAAATTTGAATCTTATTCACTTGTTCCATAATTTAGTCAAGATTAACTATTTGGCACTTCTCGTATTGATTCATATCATGCTTAGTTGGACACGCACCAATAATGAAAATCACAATAGTTAAAATTAGGTACTCACTAGATAACTAGTGACTTACAGAGTTCTTTTCATTGTGATATTTAGAACATGCCAATCACTATAGATCAGCTTGAGAAATGAAAGAACTCTTGCTGATGAGGTGGCATCTATTGAGAGAAATGTTAATCATTATCCATTACCAAACCATGTAGAATGATTATTAGGAAGAGCCGATGAGGGTTTTTCAATACCCGCATTTTCTTAATCAATATTTCGTGGTTTATGCTGAACCCTCGTTTACTGTATCGCAACAAAACAGTCTGTATCTCTGTATCTGTAGAGTAGGGAGGGTGAGTGTAAGCCCACGCACTTAGGCCACATGTGACCCATTGTACATCCTTGCGAGGAGTTGTCCTCCTAGGTCGTCGTCCATCCTGTCCTTTCCAGGAAGGTGGACAGGTTGCTGGGAGACATCTGCTTTATATCGGCAGGTGTAGGNTCTATCAATTTGAGCCCATCCTGCGCTCTATCGCACAGTGTGTTTACAAATTTGCCGGTCTGCAAGATAACTATGTCATCTGCGTATGCAATTGTGTAGAATCCATTTTTGTTGGGGTGATTAATTAGGGTATCCAGAACTATGTTCCAGAGAAGGGGTGATAAGACCCCTCCCTGTGGACATCCCCTCATGACCAGTCCTTTTCCTGTGATGTCTTTTACATTAATACTTACTTACTTACTTAATACTCACTTACACAGACACTCAACAAAACAGTATGTTGTGTGTCTGTGTTCGTGTCATTGTCTGCCGATTGTCCTGAATATCCCCGTACAGAAGTAAACACTACTCTTCTATATGGTGTCAACATCGAGAGGCAACTTCATCCAGCTTTCATCAAGCACGAAGACAACTATCAGAAGTTGAACTACCACGGGACTAAACATCAGCTGTTCCACAATCGGTAAGTCCTTGTGGTCACAAATTATATCGAAACTCATCTTAATACAGTCCATTTATCGAACCACTCGAGGGTTATGGAACATCAAGTTGTATTTGATGGATAATGTTATCATTTCATCCAAATCTTTGTGATGTAATATAATAACTATTGTTCAGAATATCACAATCTGCAAAACTATATACTTTATCAATATTCTTAAAAATATGGAGGTAATAAAGGGGAGCTAATGAAGACCCTTGCGGGACTATATGTCAAGTATTTCAATTATGGATGCGTGTGATCTATTATTTGTTATTTTTTGAGAACATTCTAGAAACTAATTTCATATAAACAATACTGAAGAAATATAAAAACCATGAAATCTCAATTTATCGAGATGTTTAATACTCATATAATATACAGAAGTTAACTAACATACTGATCATTCAATTACAGTTTATGTGAATTTTGTACAAAGTGTTTCCTCCTTCAACTAATCGATGTCAAAAATACTACTAGCCCAAAAATATATGAGAAAGTATGCATGGCTTGCATTTTGTATCGTGAAAGTATGATGAAGACTTGCAATACTATAGAAACTCATGATTCATAAAAACTTTTCAGGAATACAGTGTTCAACTGACTTTTCGAGAACAGTGGCTGGATGAGAGATTGAAGTTCAATGATTTCGGAGGAAAGTTGAAATATTTAACACTAACAGAGGCAAACAGGGTGTGGATGCCGGATCTGTTTTTCTCGAACGAGAAAGAGGGCCACTTTCACAATATCATCATGCCAAATGTTTACATTCGCATTTTTCCTTATGGATCAGTATTATATAGTATAAGGTCTGTAATAATCATGGAAAGGTAATAGAGTGACTGAAACTTGATTTCTATTTCCTCAAAGAGGCATGGTTTCTTCTTGATGTTCACACACTTTATCTTGTTTTCGATTCTGTATGACTGGGTATATTTTCCACAATGATATGCAATTATATGACTTACTTCACACCAGCATAGTAAGCTTCCACATTCACATCAAAACACTTCGTTATAATTCTGATATAAAAACTGTTCTGCATGTAGTAATGTTTATTATAGGGTTTCCCACAAGTATTGCAGAAATGGCATCTATGAGTCGACAGCAACATTGACGGCACGGAGTTCATGAAATTTCGAAAAAGAAATAAGTGAAAATTTTGCACTTTGTGTTTAGATATATTGCATCAAAATAGGATTTGCATAAGAAACACATCAGGATTTTACAAACTACTTGAATGATTATGAAATATATCGCACACACAATTTAAAATCTTTATGGCAATTATTTCATACCAATAGAGCATTCAAAATGTATTTTCGTGACATCAAATATTTATACAAATAGTCAAGTGAATTTCTTGCAATGGAAAGTTCTGATATAGAAACTACAGGAATCAGTCGCTGAATAGTATAAAAATGTATAACAATTTGTTCTCTATGCATAGTATTCTAATGATGATTTTTCACAATTTGTTGTATAGAATTTCTTGGTCAGAGCTCTTCTCAAAAATATATGGTTATTCGGATTCATATTGGGTGGTTCAGAAGTTATAGTGAAATTCATGTCAAAAAATTGGTTCATTCAACACCAAATATCTCCGACTCGATCAAATGGAATCAAGGATAGTGTATTTTGGTTTCTACTCCATAAGTTTAACCGAACAGCGCTTTTTCTATACAGGGATAAACAAAACTCGAGATCACTTTTTCTCAGTTTTTTCAAATGGAACACAGTGTACAAAGGGCAACTCAAAATAGTCCACACTATGAGTTTTCAGCAAATGTAAAGATTGATTACTTTATTTCCATCGAAAATGTATCTAATTCTTGAAGAAATTATGGAAAAGTCATTGATTTCAACTATCTTCCAATATGTTCTTAGCAATCACAGGCACTTCATACGAAACACCCTGTTCCTTTTTATTTCAATAGATGTTCATGAGTCAGATGAGTGTGTTGACACCTGGATGGAATGTAGATATGGTTTGTTTAGATTTAAAGGGTTGTTGGTCCCAATAGAAATACCATTATTCCACATTTTCAACGCGGAAAGAGGGTTTTTGGTCTCTTAGCAATGTTTTCATGCTGACAGTCGGTGTTACTACATCCTTCAAACCTTCTTGAGCATATTTATCGACTAATTCGTTGTCAGTCAAAGTATATGGAAAAACCTGTAGAAAATTCACTGACCTGGCATCATGTAGTTCCACCTCTTCTTCAAACTATTAACTAATAACTATGAGTATATGTTCATAAAAATGAACGAAGGTGTTGTATATATGTAGCAAGGAACTTTATAAAAGACATAAAATTCCCTATGGAACCTTTGGTGTAGTAATGAATATTACTGAAGTTTTTTCCCAACACCAAACGTTATTTCAACACCTGGACACGTGTTTCGATCACCAAGTGATCATCTTCAAGAGGAAGATCAAAACACGTATCGAGGTGTTAAAATAACGGTTTGGTGTTGGGAAAAAACTCGAGTAATATTCAGACGATGGTTGTTTCAAGATAGTTGATTAGAGCAGGTAATAAAAATATTGAGAAATGAACATTAGTTTATTGAAGAATGGTATTAGAAGGGATTTTCTCATACAAGTATCCGATACAAAGAAGAACACAGTAGTGATATAGCCATTGGAACACTCTAAAAGTGTAATGATTTTTCCAGATGATGAAAATTGTAATCATACTAGAGTTTTGGATAACTAAAGACATCGTAATTTCTATAATTTTGTTACTTACAAAGATCAACTCTATTCAACTATGGACCAGAATTTTCAACTTGATTTGAATCATATTATCTTCAAATATAGAATGAAGGAAATGACTTTTGCCTAATTTCTACTAAGTTTATTATTTGCTACGATCGGTTTCGGTTTATTAGATCATTTTCAAGTAACTAATACATTAAGTCAAGACAAGAACTTGAATATACACTGATAAAGTCAGGTATACACCTATAATAGGTACCTGAAACAACAAATGTTACCTTAATCAATACCAATACTACAATAACTAATTATCTTGTATAATATATCACGATTACAAACGGTTAAATGGATCCTAAACGAGATGTCAAAATTCACAAATTCAGTGTATTTTTTAACAATACAATATTATATTTTTTTGCAATATTACATTATTATATTTTTCACATTTTTTTTACCAAATGGGGTTAGATTTGCTCTCTGAGCAAATATAATACAAATAATACATACACACAGGCATAATTGCATGTGTGTATGTTGTATCCAGTATGTACATAAATCATGCTAAAACTTTTGGCCAGCAAAAATTTACAAGAAAAAAATAAGGAAGGTAACTGAACTCTAGTGTAAAGCATAAGTTCAAACACATGTGTATTTTATGCGTACACATCAATTTCAACCAAAATTCTAAATGATATTTGGCGATTGGTAGAGGACAGGGATATCAGCAATGGTAGATGTATTTGCTGTCGTTGTATTTTATAGAATGTTTCCTTGTTATTCAGGATATAATTATTCATTTCAGTTCTGAAATTCCTTACTTTCTCAATTTTTTTAAAATGTTCTCGTATTGCATTGTAAAATTTTGGACCGAAAAATAGAATCGTTCTTTAAATGTATGTATTACTAATTCTTCATTTCTATTTTATCTGGTTGGTTGGACATTACTCGTATGCCTACTTTCTGATGAATTAATCTACCTGAAATGCTCAGGTATGAATTCATCAACTACCTATATGAATAAATTTTTGAAAGTACCGTAAATATACTTGAACAGATGCAATAATGGCGAATTATTCAATTCAGTTTTAATCGTTTATAAGATTTTGAGAGCTTCTGACTTTGTTTATTTCCATACACTCCGACAGGTTGAGTTTCAAACCTTTCTTTTGGAAATGGAGGGGCTTGTATTCATGGTTGCACTCATGTCCCTCTGTAATCAAATGAGTGACATATGTGGAATTAATTTCTCCATTCTGGAAACTATTTTTGTGTTCTTTTATGCGGGCTTCGAACGTTCTTCCAGTGTGACCTATATAAAACATCGGACGTGACTCACATGATAATTTATACGCTTCCGATTTTTTTGAAACTGAACTTTTATCTTTGTTATTCTTAATGTGCATGCATAAGTTGTTGCTGGTTTTGAAAGCAATATTTACACCTTTGTTATGCAGAAAATCTGAAATATTTGTAGTGGGTTGGCCTAAGTAGGTTAAGGTTCTATAACCTTTATTCTGTTCTCTTCGAATTGGGTAAACTTCCTTCAAAGCTTGGCTGTATTACTTTTTTGATAATAAAGAATGTATTAGACTGCTATCGTAATCATAAAGAATGTATTAGACTGCTATCGTAATCATTGTTGACGGCTATTTGTTTTATTATGTTCAGTTCTTTATTGAAATACGCCTCTGACAAAGGCACATTTATCAGTCTGTGGATCATACTGTTGAAAGCTGCTACTTTGTGTTGATACGGGTGGGTGAACGAATTATGAATGTTAATATCTGGTTACCCAATTCGATGAGAAAAGGTAAAAGTTATAGAACCTCAACCTACTCAGGCCAACCCACTAAAAATATTTCAGATTTTCTGCACAACAAAGGTGTAAGTAAATATTGCTTTCAAAACCAAAAACAATTCAGGCATGCACATTAGGAATAACAAATATAAAAGTTCAGTTTCAGAGAAATCGGGGGTGTAGGTATAAATTATCATGTGGGTCATGTCTGATGTTTTATATAGGTCATACTGGAAGAACGTTCAAAGCACACCTAAAGGAATGCAAAAGTAGTTTCCAGAATGGAAGAATAAATTCCACATACGCCACTCATTTAATCACAGAGGGACATGAGTTCAACCATGAATACAAGCCCCTCCTTTTCCAGAAGAAAGGTTTGAAACTTAACCTGTTTGAGAGTATGGAAATAAACAAATTCAGAAACTCTCAATTTCTTATGAACCATCAAACTGAATTGAATAATCCATTTCCAGGTAAAAATAGTTAAGTATATTTACGGTACTTTCCAAAAATGTATTCATATAGGTAGTTAATGAAATTATACCTGACCTATTCAGGTAGATTCATTCATTGTAAAGTAGACATTTAAAGTAGATAATACGTTAGAGTATAAAATGGTTGTAATTTAGAAGTAACTTTTAGTTTATGCTTGAGTAAGCTATTGTATAGCGAAACACGTGTCGCGATTTTTGTGAAACCTTTTTTAGTGAAAATCATACAATAAATTGTATTAATTAGTTTTAATATGGACTTTCATCAAGTATCGGATAGTTCTATTCAATTATTGTGGAATACTGTTTTTTTTAATATGATTTTCATAATGGAATTTTGTATTATATGTAGAGGACGTAAGTTGTTAACGAAAACTCCTCCCCATATTATAATATACTATCTTAGAATGGATTCTACTAGGGTAGAATAAAGCATTGGTGGGATTTTACGTGATAGGATATCTCTTAATGTGTAAACTCTGTTCATTAACGCTCTCAATCGTTTATTTACATTCGGGATGTGGTCGGTCCAGCGAATGTGCTAATTCAGAGTCACTCCTATGTATTTTATTTATGTTACTTGATCTATTTCTGGGCAGGTACATGTATTAATATCACTGCAAGTTGTTTTGTGAGATAATATGTAGGGGTTTGTGTGTTAACCGTAGGTGTAAAAGGTGTGAATTTAGTTTTACGTGAGTTTTAGGTGACGTTTAGGGTGAGTAGGTTATGGTTCAGCCAAATCTGCAATTTTCTTAGATCTGCTTCTGCAGTTGACTTTATTTCTTCCAAGCATGTGCCTGTGAGTATCAAGACTGTGTTATCGGCATAGCATATTATGTTGGACAAGTCTCGTACTTGAACTATAGTATTCATTTAAACCACAAAAAGGAGTGGCCCAGAATAGTCCCTTGTGGTACATCCATTTTGACAGTCAATTCTGGGCTCACTTCTCTTCCAATCTTTACTTTTTGTGTTCTGTATTTCATATAGTTTAGCATCAGGTCCAATGTGATACCTCGAATTGCGTAGTTTTCTAATTTTTTAAAAGGATATTATGTGAGATCGTATCAAGGGCCTTTGCAAAGTTAAGGAAAACAGCCAGACATTTTGATGATTCATCTAACGCTCGCACTGTTTTTTCGAGGAAATCAGCTATGGCGTTTTCAGTACTAGATAGTTTAATGAAACCGTACTGGCTGTCAGTTATAATTTTGTGCATGTTGATAAATCAAACAGCGTGTTTTTTATATACTTATATAAAAGTACTTGTCTTGACTTGATCTATTACTTACTTGAAAATGGTCTAATAGACCAAAACCGATCGTAACAAATAATAAACTTAGTATAAATTAAACAAAAGTTATTATCTTCATTATATATTCAATATTAATTTCTACAAAATAAGTAGGTCATCAATCGAACAAGTCATATTATCTTCATCGTGTCTTTATCGTGTAATTTCACGTGTGTGAATCTCTGTTATTATTTATAAAGCATGTTCCGTTTATGAAGTAAATGATGTACACATTGGGGTATTCGAAAGAAATTTAGGAACGATAGTATTCGTTCAACTTAAAATTGAGTTTATGATCACTAATACTCACTGCTTTAACCTCACCTAGACTTATTTCATTGATACTTTAGAGAAAAATTTCGAATTCATTTATATTTCAGAATCTCGCTCACTCTGTCCTGTCCAATGAATCTCAAGTTATACCCACTGGATCAACAAATCTGTTCCTTGAGGATGGCCAGCTGTGAGTATAATTTCTACTGTTTTCGGTTATTGTTTTTATTTTCTAAATGTTTCCTTCACTACTGGAAAAGGTACAACATGAATGGTGAAACTCCAAGGAATTAAAAATAATTCAATAGTTTAATTTTTATTATGTATGTTTTGTTATAACATATTGTGAAAATTTGTATGCGATCAGAGCTTCCAAGGAGTACCTATACAATGAAACTACTTTCACTTCCTATAGAAGGTCACAATGTTTTGACAAAAAGATCAACTGTATTAGTAAACATGATCTTCATTTCTATAGTATATGGTCCCAAGGACGTTGGACGATATTATAGTTGGTGGAGAGAGTAGTTGGTGGAGAGAGTAGTTTGTGGAGGAACAGAAATTGGGGGGAATTTAACTCCATTTTTTATCAGTGAGGTCATTCCATTTGCAGCGGAATTGCAATATCTAGTTTGTTATCCTTGAACACTATCTCGGAAAAGAATCTACAGAAAGTCAAACTATCATGGACATGTTCGAGGATATGTGGAAAATTTTGTGGAACATGGCCGAAACAAATACATTGGATATATGTGGTGATTGTTAGACCAGAGGTCACATACGGACCAATTACTTCTACATCTAACGGCTCTGCCAATACTGTTTAGCTATTGACTATTTTCAGTGTCATGTGCACCACACAGTCAGCGGCCATGTAAAACCTTCTAGACCTACCGGTTTTATCATATCTTCCTGAAGGGAGAGAGGCTAGATGGACAACATACAAAATTGTGCATACTACCAGTTTGACCACCGACTTTCGTTTCGTGACTAACTTTCACGCTTTCACCTATCTTCTCTTCCATCTTTCTGCTTCACCGGTTTAGCGGGAGTTGCCATTTTTCGCTTGATTATAGGTTTTCATATGTTGCCTATCTCTATGCTAGCTTGGCTGAAAACGTCATTGGACAACATATTATACGCAGTTTCTTTGAACTTTCTTTTAAACCAGTGTTCCTCCCTGTGGATAATCTCAGATTGGGCCCACTTGATGTTATTTCATGAGTCCAAACATGCTCTGTTATTCCCGATTTTCTGGATTATCTTCGCTATGTGTGTTTCTTGTTCTCGTCAATGCGGACTTTCAATGGCCTCTCAGTTTCACCGATATAGTTTTTCCGCACTCACAAGTTATCCGGTAAATGCAATTCTTGGAATCGCAGTCCGCGTTTGGTGGCCTGGTTTTCGTGAGGCTGCTAAGGATAATGTTTCCGGATCTTATCTATCATTTCCGGCAATCTTCTGACGTAGGAAAGGGCGAGGACTGGTTGTGACGGCTTCTCTTCTTTGGGAAGCCCTTTCACCATCACTTTGGAGTAATTATTCCATTGAAGTTTTTTTTTATGATGCCTAGTTCCTTCTCGAGCATGTTTGGACTCATCAACATAACATCAAGTGGGCCCAAGCTGAGATTATTCTCAGGGAGGAACACTTGTTCAGGAGAAAGTTCAAAGAAGCTGCATATATGTTTTCCAATAACGTTTTCAGCCAAGCTAGCGTAGAGGTATGCAACATATGGAAACCTATAATCAAGAGGAAAACGACTAACTCCCGCTAAACCGGTGAAGCGGAGAGAGGGAAAAGGATATAGGTGAAAGCAGTCGAATGGCCTATAGTCATATCTCGGAGGAATAGCCCAGTCATCACCAGAAGACGATTGTGGATATTAACAATCGCAACGTCGTGAAGTAATTTGGTTTGAAACCTTTTTACCCTTTTTCGACTTCATTTGTAATTGTTCAAGTTTTTGATTTTTTGCTTATTTTCATTTTATTTTAATTTCATTTCACGTTTTTATTGCTCAATATTTATAGCTAATCATAATTTTATTTGTTCTTTCAGAGATTCCAAATCACATTACAATCATATTAGACAATGGAAGTACAAACTGATAAAATTTTGGAATCCATTGATTTTTGAATTTTTTCCACGACAAAAGAGTATTGAAGATATTTGATCTTCTTCGTTTTCGGCACCGCATTATATACACATCATTTTCAGTTCATCCTAAGATTTTTTGAAGAATGGTTTACATGTGCAGTGAATTTAAACACTATCATCAATTGAAATTTGAAAGTAATTCCACATATTCATCTTTTTTTATATCCAAGAATTCAGTATACTAGTTTTAGTTTATTTAGTAAAAGGCTGAGATCTTTCGGAAGAGGAAATCAAGATCGGATCGCAACAAAAACTACATTTTACCTAAATAATATTCTTCAGAGTAGAATACTAATTTTGATGAACACTTTATGACGACAATAGGTAAATCGCCAAGTGCACTTCTCAGAATGATCGGCAGTTGCTCAAAGTCGTGTATACGCATGAATTAATTTCTGATATATAGAGGTAACAAAAGAGAAAATCTCTTGTCTCAAAGTCGCATTCAATGCAAATGAGTTCACACTCGAGTTGCATGAGTTGTTAATGGGCAAGATAATGAGATAATTGGAATATACCGCCTGAATATGGAGTGACAATAACACTTAGGTGGATTTGTTGCTGGTGAGGAAATCTCAAAATAACAAAACTAAAATATATATTCGAACGTTAGTATTTTTGTTTATTGTAACGATTTATAGTCATAGAAAACATGTAAAAGTTTCAGTCCACGCGAAGTTTGGAGTAGATACAAACGGACCCATAGGTGTAATACCTTTTGAGTAAGATTTTCACAAAGGGCATCAACAAGATTTGAATAAAATTTTTCAGTATTATGACAATGAAAAAAAAACAATGTATGTGTCTATAGATAAAGTTCCTAGATCTGATCATTAACGTTTTCCAACTAAACTGTAAGTGTTTTGACTCATTGGTTTTTTGATTCAGCCGATCAGATCTCATTCATCATTTATTGGGCCTAACAACTAAGAAACTAACTTTTGTTCTCCAGCGAGAACTGAAATGAAGAGAACAAACTCAGGACTGGTAGGTCGTAGTCGAATGGAACTTGAAGTATCAAACGTTTCGTTTGCTACTCCGGCAGACATCATCAGTTGTCACTAGTTATATTACGTCCTGAGAAGTTACGTGTTCAAAGTAATTTAGAAGAAAATGATGCCCCAATCGGATATTGATTCTTGTTCTTCATTTTTAAGAGGCCTCTTTTGTTGTAACTTTGATAATAATCTTGAAATGAATAATTTTCTTTTTTATTCTTATGGAAACATGCACTTTTCAAATTGATATATCTCCCTCAACATCTCTTTTTCTTTCTTCATCATACATTAGTGGTGTTATCGTGAAAGAAAAATGGAAGATCATCAAATAAACAATATGTGCCTATATAAAATGTATTTCTCATCGAAATTCATTTTTGAAATGTAGCATCATTAATACGACGACACTGATGGCGAATTCGGTATTCGAGGGAAGTAACCTGAACATATTTACCCTTTGAGTTTGACTAGATTATTCGGATGTCTATATATACGTTAGAAAATAGTTTCTGTGCCTCGCCACTGCCGTCAATCAAGTATATCTGGAATCTTTTCCGAATATCTTGGAACAATATTATCACTATTATTCAGTTATTATCACAACAGTATTCCAAAATGTCTTCTTTAATTATTAGGAAATCAGCTTTATATACCTACACGTTATATATTATAAGATACAAATGAAATAATTCGTGATATGAGGTTAAAAAAAACACCCACATCGAAGATACTACGTATAGGTTGGGTTATATAACATATATCTCGTAAGGTAGAGATAGAGGTGGAGTAGGTAAGGTAGAGACCCCTTACGTACTCCATACCAATTCGTTTCCAAGTGAAAAAAAATGTTAAATTTGCATTATTTTTCTTTTACAGATGGATGGACAACTGATGATTTGGTATTCCTGTGGAAAGAGGGCGACCCCGTACAAGTAGTGAAGAATTTACACCTACCTAGGTTTACGTTAGAAAAGTTTTTGACTGACTATTGTAATAGTAAAACGAATACAGGTAAAAACTTGGAACGGAGAAGAAAGTAGTCCATCTTACATTATATTTACAGGTGAATATAGTTGCTTGAAAGTAGATTTACTATTCAAGCGAGAGTTCAGTTACTACCTTATCCAAATTTACATACCCTGCTGTATGCTAGTTATAGTGTCCTGGGTATCTTTCTGGCTGGACCAAGGAGCTGTACCAGCTCGTGTATCACTAGGTGAGTAAAAAAATTATTTTTGTTTGAAAAACGTTAACTTGCTATACTTGGTAGTCCAGCCTTTCCTCTAATGTCTTATTTCTACGGTTGATTCAGTGGTTACTATCGGTACAGAAGCAATATATTTTGGATTCATGTATATGTTGAAAGAAATTTCCACCTCTAGTCAGTCGTTGCTATAAAAGAACCTGAAATTTCGTGTCTGCAAAATTTCTACAAAACTCAAAAATACTAATTTTAGACAACGGCGACACGTGTTTCACTATACAATGGCATTCGAATCAATTTATTTGTTCATTAGATATTGGGAAATTTTGAATTTATTAGTTTCCATACTTTCCACAAGGTTAAGTTTCAATTTTTCTGGAAATGAATTCATGTCTATGTGAGAAGGTGAGTAGCATACGTTGAAATTGTTTTTCTATTCTGGAAACTGTGTCTATGTTATTTTACGCGTGCTTTGAATGATCTTTCTGTTTGACTTATGTGAAACATCCAACATGAACTACACATTAATGTATACGATCCTGATCTGACACTAAACTCTTGTCTTTCTTATTGTTGTTTTGAGTGCTCAAGTTATTTTACATTTTTATGCGCTATATCTACACTTTTTTTTAAAAAAATTGAATATCTTCATACTACGTTCACCCAAATATGATGACTTTCTATAATTTTTCTTCTCGTCTCTTAGAATCGGGTAAATTTTCTTCATGGCATGACTATATAGTTTTTCAACAGTGAAATTCGTCAGTGAAAGCGTTAAATTCTTTTCCGCTTGGGGCTTTGGGGAGTTGTTACTAGTTAACAATCTTCCTCTCAGACGAAAGTTTCATATATGTAGCGGAGCCATGTTGAAATTAATCGAGTCCCAGACACTTTGCTGTCTGAGTAGGATCTTTCCTGTACTAACGAGAGGTAATGCCTTGAAACCGAGGTCTGCAGGTGATCAACTTGAATAATTTCAGTATGGTCCTGCTGCTGGATGAATGAGAAACATCTGCGAGACTAGCCTCTGAGAGGAATCTTGCATAAATGTCTGTCGGATATAATTCAATATCCAGCGTGGTATTAGCCGGGGAAATAGTCGTTTTTTGACAGACGTTCACCACACCCTACTGTGTAGGTAGTTGGGAGAGATTAATATTTCGAAAATATTATTTTCTTATACGTATGTATCTCTCCTCAATAGTTTTCACTTTTGATTTCTGATAATACCCATTTGTGTCCGTCTAGTCTAGGAAAATACAAATCGAAAAAATTGTGTTGTTTCAATAACTTTTGTTATAGCGAATAAAACCAATAATAACTTGAGCAAACATATTGAAAACAAAAAATGCAAGAGTTTGGTGTGAGATAGATCAGGAATTTATAAATGTTCGTGTAGTTCATCCGATGTTTTACATCAAGGAGACTGGAGGCACACATAAAACGACACAGGAACAGTAACCAGAATGGAAAAATGAACTCAAAATATACTACTCACCTCCTTAAAGAGAGACACGAGCTCCATCATGAATTCAAAACATTTCATTCCCAGAAAAAAATCTTATGAAGAATATGAAAATACTCGGAAATTCAAAAATTCCTGATATCTAGTGAATGATCAAATTGATTTCGATAACTATCCGTTGTAAATTGAGTATTATATCCACCCTTTTCAGCTAGTCAAATATAGCATATAATTGATTATCTGATTGGGCAGTAGTTGATGGCTAATATCTCCAAAGTATAAAAGGTAGGTCGGTAGCCAGGAGGTCCGACGTGGGTGCTTTGTTCACTCTCTCAATCGACCGATGTGTGAGTCGGTGGTTCAAGCCGCAGGCTGAAAGATCGATTTGCTGTCGTCCAACCCGTATTAGGAACCACACGTTAAAAGGCAAGACCTCGTTAATCCTTAGCTCGCACAAGTTTCGACTTCTGAGGGTTGTCGTACGTATAGGGTTGCGACAGCTGGTTAATGGAAAAAATATATTTCAACATTTTTTTTATAATCTACAGCTTGTCAAATTGTCAAGAAAGACCTCACTGAATTCCGTTATGGTCCGGTCCACTAGATGTGCGTTCATTAGAAGACCATGAGAGCGAGAGAGAGAGAGAGAGAATTCTCATGTCTCTTTCTAGATTTGACAAGCTATAGAAGTAATTTTATCAATTCTGCTTTAAAAAGCTATTATAAAGGATGTAACTGAATGGGTGTAAAACATTCAAGAAGGTGATTCCTCATCGAAAAAAAGATAGGATCTTTCATATAAAGAAACTTCATTGGATCATCCCTTGTTGAGATACAGCCCCTTAAAGGGGGTACAGAAAATTTATAAAGCAATTTTTTACAAGCTCTGAAAAAGTTACAATATTGAAATTAACCTGACGTTTTGTACTACCAAAAAGACACTTAGCCAGTAATTTATTTGGACCCCATGGTTGTAAGGGGTGGAAAACGCAATTCTTAAAATTTATTTCCAATGTAACTTTTTGTCTTATTATTTGTTCAACATNCCCTGTATAGCGAAACACGTGCCACGGTTTTGTACACCTGTTGTATTGAAAATCATAATAAACTGTATTAGTAACTTTTGATATATAGTTTTTCATCAAATATTGGCCAGTTTCATTCAATTTTTGGAATTCAAATATATTTATGGAAAAATTCAACGGTACACTTGTCAATTAGTTAATTGAATCTATTTGAAATGGTATTGATTTTTATGAAGACTTTGATAAATTGTTATTATTGCTGTAATTATTATAAAACTTTGTAATTTGATTCTATCACATTCACCATCGAAAGTAATGATCATTTATTTCAAAAAAAATATTTTTAGAAATATTGCATATTCAATTTCATTCAATTCAATTTCATCAAAAATTAAATTTTGAACACTCTGATGAAAACAATTAATGTGCTAAGAAATGTATGAAGTTCACCATTCCATAATTATTTTTTAGCATTATTTCAACTTTTATGTTATTCGTAGAGACTGTGAAGCCACAACAAAAAATATGAACATTAGTATCCGGCAAAAACAGTTATTAATCAATATAAAGTATCAAGAATCCTAGCAGTTAAGACCTTAATTATCTAATAAAAAATTATGGCAGTGGCAGTAAAATTCTCTTAAGAATATCTTAGTGATTTTAAACCCATTTCATATAAATGTTGTCGTTCCCAGATTATTCAAAATGATTTCATACAGCCAGTAAGAAATCAATTTACTAATTCAGATCCCGGATAAGAAGAATATAAAAATGAATAAAAAAAATGTTTTCAAGAAATGTAGCCGCATTCAACATCAATAAAAGTTTTTGAAATTAATTTTGTAGAGCAAATCGCAGGTAGGTACCTGTAATAAGAATAAATACGTCGGTAATTAGAAGCAAATAATGTGGGGTAAAAGTAATGGTTGGGAGCTTTTTGCCAGGTGAGCAATGACTTGGTCAAGTGCACATATTATTAATGACCCTAATTACCATTAATATGAAACTAAGTCTATCAAAAGAAACCCCTTATATCATTGAATGAATTCAATGGTGAACACCGTATAGGAAACGGACTTTATCAATCCAACAGAAACGCTTCTCCCACACATCAGAACTGTATCTCTATTCTCGATGAATATCCTGATGATATCCTGATATTGGTTGACGATACGTGCATTGAGAAGACTGTTAATCTGGTGACATACTTTGCAATTTCCGAGTGGTTTTTTCCAGCGCGGTTTCCGAGCGAAAATTGTTGGGTGAAACTTGCTACAGTGAGTACTTGACAGTGTCCGCGATTTCCGAGCGATTTCCTGGCAGTTCGGATTTCTAACTGAAGGGGGTATATTCCCTTGTCGTCCTCTAGTATTGTTCGCGCTTTTAAAGCAACCAATAGGAAGTCTGTTGCTGCTGCGATATTTCACCATCAAATGGTGGCATCCCTTTACGCTTTGGGAGCAGAAGGCGCTCCTGCTGAAAGACACCACCCAAGGAGGTACGACCTGCACCCGTACCACCGAAAGAGGAACCAGGAAGAAATGTTTTCTGTTTCATACAAAAAAATCAGAGAATAACGTAGACAAGGTTTTTACCTATTCCCGAATGTCCATAAAGTCGTTCGATGAACAATTGTTCGACCTTTGCTACAGAAAAATTGCACTAGGAGAATACCTTACAGCGTTGAAGAGAGGCTTACTGTTACATTGAGGTTAGTTCAAGTTTATAAAATATTGCATTGATTACATATTCTTCTAGCGGAAGACATGACCAATACAAAACTCATGGGACATTTGAAAAAACATAAAATCGTATTTGTAGTACATACTGGCTTTTGTCTCACAAACGCTACGAATTGAAGTTTTCACTTCCATGCTCGAATTACGACTGAAAAACCGCTCAGAAATAGCCAACACTGTTCCATTCGTTCACCTGGGTTCTCCTTCTATTTGGTCGCCCTTGCCCTCCCATTGTCGCACGGAATCCGACGACCAGTCGGCTGTAAAAAATCGTCGCTGTTAAAAATCGCAAACACTGTTATGTTCCCTTCAAATGCAGGTTTTGGCATGAAAATTAAAAACCGCTCGGAAATCGCTATGGAAAAAACCGCTCGAAAATCGCTATGGAAAAAACCGCTCGGAAATCGCGAACTATGTCACTGGACTTATGTTGTGCGGGAATGGGTTTTTGATAAATTCCTTCTGCGCCAGATTTTAAAATTATGATTTTCTCAAAGCACATATTCTTAAAACCTATTTGAAATCTAATTTTCACAGGTGTTACAACACTACTGACCATGGCCACACAAACATCTGGGATCAACGCATCTTTACCACCAGTGTCATATACAAAAGCAATTGATGTTTGGACAGGAGTTTGTTTGACCTTCGTATTCGGAGCTCTGTTGGAATTCGCCCTTGTAAATTATGCTTCACGATCAGACATGCACAGAGAAAACATGAAGAAACAAAGGAGGCAGTGTGAACTTGAACATGCTGCCTCATTAGATGCCACATCAGATATGATTGACTCAGATGGAAACGCTACATTCGCAATGGTAAGAAGGATTTTCAAAATTACATTTTTTCAACAAATAATGTTCAAACATGCAGTAATCATGAATTACTATCACCACGGCTCACAAAGTGAAATTCAATGAAAAATAAATTATTCATGAATTTAGGGCGTACTGGCCATCAGGTGAAAGAACATTGAAATAATCATGTAATTGAAAGCTTGTTCTCAAAAATGATTTTTTCTATTATTTTTTTGATTGTTTTAGTTATCGCTAGACATTTCATTCAATGCATCATTGTTACATGTTCGATCCTGACATTTATTCGTACACTACGAAACTATCTTAATCTTTGCCAAGTTGTTTCTTTTCAAAATTGGTATGGCGGTCGTTTTCTGCAATTTTACATACATATACATACATACATACGTACATATCGACATTATTCTATGATAAATTGATTTTTCAACTCGGTATGTTGACATCACATGTTAAACTAGAATTGGCTATTCCTATCTGTTTTAGTCAGAACTTTTTCCTATGGTTTACAATATTTTTAGATACAACAGAAAATTTTAACAGATAAACAACAAGGGAGAAATAGTAATATTAGCAATTTTTTCGGATAGGAAATCTCATCGGTATTTTTTTGTTACATGATGCTTAGGAATTGTTCTATCATACAAAGAATAATCATCTCTCCAAAATTAAAGTGATGCAATGCATATTTAAAAAATTTACGTTCGAACGAGATAAACTTGATAAACTTTCAATAGAAAATCAGTGAATATATTCTATGATTCCTAGGCAAATGTAAAAACTTTGCAGAATCCTAATTCCTAATTACCTAAGTAATAGACTATTATTTGCTGAAAGAGGCTTTCGAAAGTACTGAAGTGAAAATTATCAGAGATGGTTTTTTGCTTTTAAAATAATATCTGTGCCTATTTTGTCATTCTCAATTCAGACGTTGTCGTTTTCATAATAACCCTGAAACTGAGGGGATATAATAATGATATTTTATAAGAAATATGCAGTTTTCAAAATTATTGAAATAACAATCCATTTTTCTAAGATTTTAACCATCCAGTGAGTAGAACTGGAACGTTTGGTCCACTTTTCACGACTCACGAATACAATTAATTGTATTCGTTTGGAAATTCAAGGACGAAACTGCAGTTACATTGAATATTACCGGAGTTTTTTCCCAACACCAAACCGCTATTTTAACACTTCGACAAGTGTTTCGATCACCAAGTGATCATCTTCAAGGGGAAGATCAAACTGTTTGATCTTTGCCTCAACAAGAAACCCAGCATATCTTCATGTAAAATGGAAAGTTTCTCAAACAACAATCTCGTACATGACATGAAAAATTCCTGGTAATACCTAAGCATTGTAGTTTATTCGCAGTATCTCTTACAATGCTGCCAAGCTTTTTAACAAATTACCAAATGAACCTGAGTCAAATAGTTTTAAGGCTGAGGATACGAAAATAGCGACGGCCGAGTGATGGCGAAGCAACGCGATGGCAGAACGGTGGCGGTGCATACGGTGACGGGGCGAAGCGATCGAGCGATAGTGTGATATTATAATATCAATACCAAACGAAAATTGATAATGAAGAATTTATCTCGTTTATTTTAACGAAACCTGCTCTATGGGACAGTAAAAATTTTCACCTTAGCTCGTAATAAAGGGTTGAAAATTTGTCAAAATTACTCCCTCCTTCATTTATTGAATGGACACAATCTCTAGGTAATAATAACTACGTTCTCATTAGTAGAATTTGCTTGAATTGTTCTCTTAGACGTAAACTTGTGTTATGATGACGTGACATGTTGCTCAAAACTCTACTCCAACAGGACTGACCGACCGAAGTTTCATCGCTCCGCTCCGCGCCGCCCCGCCGTCGCCATCTGTTGACCGTTGCGATTTTCATGCCCCCAACCTAAAAGCAGTTTGAAAAAGGCTTAGAAGGATTGTGGAATGATTATATTATAAAAGCGATATTTATTTCTATTTTTCAATTCCCAACCATTTTCGGCTGGGATATGTTCATATTTATTTTTTACTCACGGTTGGGTTGAGAAGTAGGTAACGGAGAATATTATCTGAATGTTGATAATATTTATGATTATGTGCGATGATAAACGAAATCGATTGATTTATATTTTAATTATTGGTGAAACTTATAATGCGGCTTCGTAAACATTGTGAAAATCTGACAATGAAGTATTTCCAATACGTTTTCAAATATCCAAGAGTCATCTCTATACTGTCATGAAACATCCATATTTTTAAACGTATTGAGCTCATTCAAAACAAATTATTTTACAGAAACCCCTAGTACGACATCCCAATGACCCAATGAGTTTAGAGAAAGTTCGCCAGTGCGAAATCCATATGCAACCCGCTCGTCCCAATTGCTGTAAATCCTGGTTGTCAAAGTTTCCGACGAGATCAAAACGTATTGATGTGATTTCCAGAATTACATTTCCACTAGTGTTTGCGTTATTCAATGTTATATATTGGTCAACCTATCTTTTCCGAGAAGAAGTTGAGGAATCGTAAACTATCATTAACAATTATTATTGTGATTTTTTCATAAATGTAAATATACCAGTTACGAAGGACCTCAGTTTTATTTGTTCGTTTGATGTTGTTATTATAATCCAAAGTTGCATTATTCCGTCTACATTGTTACCATTACAAACTAGAAATCGCACATGATATCGTAATAAATTTTCTAATGTTAAAATACTTCAGCATTTTCATTAGACACCCTATGATAAATCTAATATGACTACATTCAAAGAACGTATACAGAGTGACTTATCGTAAACAGTCCAGCAAGTTTTTTATGTGGAAATTAAAAAAAAAAACTTAGCCTGTGTCATTTTGTTTTCAGGGGGACTTATTTACATATTTATTTTATAACTTCAACTATAACCCCTTATCGAAGGCGTCATTCGCCTTCACATTTTATTTTTTCAAAAGTGTAAGGGTATGTTGCATCAAATTCGCTTTCGATTTTCAAATTTGAGCTACGGATTCTAGGGAATATTCAGTATAATTCAATTGATTAATTTTTTAGGGTCTTGAAAAATTTGACGTTCACCTCCATACAGTAACTGTTCATAGTGTTTTCGGACATTGTGAAGAATATCAGGTATCATTTCGTGAAAATAATGAATGATGCGGTTCTGCGAATCAGCAGACGATTCAGACTGGGTGGCATAAATTTTATATTTCAGATGTATCCACAAAAATAAATCAAAAGAAGATAAATCCGGTGATTTTGTGGGTTATTCGATAGCAACAATCCTCACAATCCATCTACTACGAAACGTTCCATTCAGAAACTGCACTGTAGGTAAAACTTATTGAGGAGGAGCCTCGGGTTGCTGAAAAATCGGAGTTTTTTCTTGGTAATGTTTGTTGTTTTCCGTAATTTTGATCAGCGCTGAATTGGTGGTATTCCTCCAAGTCAAATTTAGTATGTGTATCCATTTAAATTTCTTGGCAAAAAAATGATCCATTCATTGGATCATCAGTATGAATTCTGGATTCGGTTTAAACCAGATATGACAATTATATCGACCCATTGAAAAAATTAACACTCTGTTCATAATAATTACAGATTTTCACAATATAGACTTCATTTTCAATACGCATTTCACTACATAGTAGTTTCCTCAGTTGGACTTGTGGGTAGGGCGGGGCTTAAAGGTCCGCGGGTATAAAGGTCCACCATAAGTATCTAAAAAACTAGTGGTATATCGTTCGTTCTAACTACGTATGCGGAATGAAGGGAGCACGGGAGGGCGTTACGAGGCATCGCCAGCAGTCGAGCAACGTCGCTAGAAGGAGATATACGACTACGTCTAACGTAAGTAACGTAAGTAAATTTTTTCATCATTATTCTTTTCAGTTTCGAGCAGTTGTTTTTCGCTTATCACACCTAAACATAGTTTATGACATGATTTATTTGTTTTTCACGATTTATTATTAGTTTTGGGCTAGGTTCACAGGTAATTTCATTATAACCTCTAAAAATATTTACACGTAGTTGGGATAAAAATGTCCAATGTGGACCTTTTAGCCCCTCATTAATATGTTGGTTAAAAACAACTTTTTTGTTTCAGTATGCGCAATTATAAAAGAAAATCCGATCGTGATACTAAATCTGTTGAGTTGATGCAACGTGCAGCAGATTTAGTTGTCAATGAAAATAAATCATTGAGGCAGGTATGTCGTAACTATGAATTAAGTAAAACTTCATTGTCAAGATTTATTGAACGGATGAAGAATGACCCTGATAATTTGAGATTTGGGTATGGTTCTCCACGGCAGATATTTAATACGGAACAAGAATCCAGTCTCACAGAATACTTGCTCTAACTTGCACAAATTTTCCACGACATAGGTCCTGAAGAAGTTCGTCGCATGGCTTATGACTGTGCCATCAAATATAAAATAAATATACCGAAAACGATGCATACAAATGAAATGGCCGGTGAAGATTGGATGACTGCCTTTCTCAAACGTAATTCAAGTCTCTCCATAGGAAAACCTGAAGCGATTAGCCTCAGCAGAACTACGTCTTTCAATAAGTCTAATGTGCACGAGTTTTACATTAAATTAGCTGACGTAGTGGACCGATTTAAATTTACAGCTTCTTCTGGTGTATCCTCCGTCACCAAAACATCAAAAATAGTTGCTGCTAAAGGAAAGCGAAATGTTGGATCAATAACATCCGGTGAACGTGGAACTAATATAACCCTGTTAGTAGCGGTTTCAGTTACAGGTTCATCAGTTCCACTTATGTTCATCTTCACTCGCAAAAAATTTCAAAACCATTTCATTCGGGTTGGTCCTACTGATTGCATTGGTGCTGGGAATTTTAGCGGTTGGATCACCAATGACGAGTTTTTCATACTAATGCAGCATTTTATCAAGCACGTTAGACCTTCTGAAGAATTTCCTACCCTGTTGGTTTTAGACAACCATTCTTCGCACTTATCTGTGCCAACACTAGATTTAGCTAAATAAAATGGAGTGGTCATGCTCTCTTTTCCTCCACACTGTTCTCACAAATTACAGCCACTTGACGTGGCGGTATATGGCCCTTCTAAAAGATATCTGTCTTCAGCTCAAGATGCTTGGATGCGGAATAACGCTGGAAAAACCATGACCATATACGATATTCCTAGATTCTTCCGCACTTCTTTGCCTTTAGCTTTGACACCGAGGAGCATAATGAGTTGATTTGAAAAAACTGACATATTTCTCTCCAACCAACATAAATTTAATGACGCTGATTTGGCATCTAGTTACGTAACGGGCCGTCCTATGAAAACTGTCAGTAATGAGCCACAGCCTTCGACATCGTCCACTCCTTTGCCAACAGTATTGTCTAATCCACAGCCTTTAACGCCGTTAGACCCGCAGCCGTCAACATCATATGATACACAGATATCAACATCAGTTGATCTGTGTGGATGTTTTTTCCCCGAAATCGTGGGACCACTACCTAAAGCCGGACCAAGAAAGTCAACTATTGATAGGAAGCGTCGAAAAACTGCTATTTTGACGGATACACCAGAAAAAGAAAATCTACGTAAAGAACAAGAAAACTTGAATAAGAAAAAGGCTAAAAGTGTAGACAAGAAAAGCAAAGTAACTAAAAGAGTTGAGAAAGTAAAAAAAGCTATTTTACAAGAGGTTAACAGTGATTCCAGCTCTGATGATGAATACTTCTGTTTGATTTGCTGCAAGAAGTATAGTGACAGTGTTCCAGGCGAAGGTTGGATTCAATGCAATCTTCGCAAACAATGGGCCCATGAAACATGTATATCAAACAGAAGTTGCATTCACTTTGTTTGTAATAATTGTGATTCAGAAAACAATGAGTCTGATTATGATAAAATAAAGGTACCAAGATATGTTGACTAGGTTAATGTGTAGAAATTAAAATTAAAAAAGAGTTTAATTTTTGTGTTACGGTTAAAGAAGTATATTTTGTTTTCTAAAAGATTGTTAATTGTATTGTTAAAAGTCTATAAAAGATTATGTAAGATTAGTTATAAAGTCAGGCTATCCTGACTCATAATGAATAATGATGTCTTGTTTAATTGTGTTCTTCAATATAGACTGATAAGTGATTAAACTATTATAAGCTCAACAAAGATAGAAATCATTAGTAAGAATGTTACTGTTGTAATATGATTATAAAAAAATATGTTTTGTTTGTTAAAAAAAAAATATTGGACCTTTTTGCCTGCTGCCTATCTCTGTTCACCCCTACTATGGGGCAAAAAGAGACGGACGACAAGGTCTAGAAAAGTTGTAGAAAAACATATTTCTATTATAATAATTCAATTAAAAATTGAGTTGAACATAGTCAGATAACTGTTTTTTTGATTAGTGTTATATATTTTGATATAGTAAGATCGGTTTTCACAGTATAATTCAAAATAGTCAAATTGAACCTTTAAGCCTCTCCCTACCCTACTCTACACTTATTCACAATGCAATTTATTCAAATTATTGACCTGGTAAACAGATAATTCAAAAATAGGTAGCCAGTAGTAGGTTACTAATGATTCCACTAATTTTAGTAGCTTTTTCATGAAAATTAATTTAATAATGGTGAGAGATTCAACTTTTTGTTGGTCGTTCAATAGGAAATTTGATTGTTTACGTTTATTCATCTACACAGGGATTCCAGCAGGTTTGATTTTTGTCCTTCATTTTAGAATACGAGTCACGTTTTAGCCTGTAGACGCTTAATTTGTTGTCCTTGTAGATATTTCATTTGTTGTTTTCCATATGTCTACCAATGCTGTTATCACTCTGCCATATCAATATTCTGTTTAGTTAGTAGTCTACTCATCTTTTCTGTTGCCATTTTCGTATATCTCAGTGTTTTCAAACTGCTTCGATGTGAGTATGTGATGAATCGCATGTCCAGATGGACGTTGTTATTTCCTGCCATCTATTTTATCAAAATTCTCTGGGAATCATGTTGTGGTAACATGCTAGTTTATGTTGATAAGAACAACCCCATTCACAAGCCACCTTCCTCATCAAAACTGAAGATAAATTCAGATACATTAAATCCAACGAAGATAATCCGAAACTATACTCATTCATCAATCTCATTCACAATTTTGTGAACATTTGAACATCAAACAATATACCACAAACTAACCCATACAAACACAACCATCAACGACCATTCTCATCTCCCTGATCAACATAAACTAGCTGCTTGCCACAGCATGGTCCATAGGCTGATTAGTATCCCTATGTCAACAGATAATTTCAATGAAGGACTAAATTTGATGAAACAGATGGCAGTGAATAAAAACTTCAATCCGGACATAAATCATCACATTCTCGACAGAAAAACTATTTAAACAAGCCGTTAAACAATTATACCCTCGTATCAAAAAAATAGTAACACTTTCACAACACTAACATATAGAGAAGATAAGTAGAATACTAACTAAACAGAAAATCAACATAGCCTACAAAACTGATGATAACTCAGGTAGACATAAAAAAACAACAAATCCGACATTGACAAGGATAACAACTCAAGTGTCTACAAGCTGAAATGTGACTCGAGTCCAAAATGGAATGAACTCATTATTTCGGTTACTGTACATATTTAAAGAAAACCGAAACACGTTAAATGTAAATTATAATTTGACATACTTCAACGTAAAAATGCCACCCCTACCTTCAACTCCCTT